CAGGACTAGAATAGCGGGGACGTAGGATGGAGGGGCGATGGTGGGGCTGGAAGAGGGGGTCTTTGGAAGTTTGCATGGGGCCCCTGTCTTAGGCCTGGTACCGTCCGTTTTATTTTCACAATCACAAGCACTCCCAGAGGAGGGAAGTAGATGTCAAAGCCCAGCGATGCCCGGAACGCCGGCTGTGTCTCTGGGGTGAGGCACTCGGCCAGTCCCTCGGCAGGGGTAGTTTTGTGCATCTGTTTGTCAGGGTTGCTGCTGCCTGGCTAGAGTGAACCCAGAATGAGAGCTCCAGTGACAGCCCTGAGATCCCCCAGGTTCAGGCCAGCCCTATAAATCCCTCCCCAGAGCGGGAGGTTTTGGGGGGAGGAGGGAAACTCCACTCAGATCCCCCCAAATCCTGCAGCCAACTGGGCAGGAGCATGGGGCTTTGCTGCCCTGGCTCCATGGGGTGGCTTGGAAGTGGAGGGGCGAGGGTTAATAGCCAGATGGGGAGGAGCAGTCACTGGCAGGCACTCCCCCGTCTCCTGCCAAGGGCTGTCTAGCCCAGCACTGGCCCTCACTCTTTCCATGAGTCACCATCGCTCCATGACTCAGCAGGCCCAGGCCCAGCCCCCGCAGCCCCACGGGCTGATTGCAATGGGGATGCTCAGAGCCACGGGACACACACAGAGAAGTATGCACGCATATGCACACACATACATCTATGGATTAATGCACACACACATAAACATGCAGACTCACATGTATGCATGGACACATGCTCAGGCGGGCACACGGACACACATGCAAACACATTTAAACACACCCATACAGAGATGCACACACGCACAATGCATGCATATACATGTGCACACACATTTAAACACACCCATACATAGATGCACATGCACGCACATGTATGCACGCATACACACGTGTGTGCACACACACAAAGACACCCATGCCGATATGCAAACACATCCCCATACGCACACTCCACTCCCAAACCAGAAGCTTGCTGGCAAAGCCAGACCAGGATGCCTGCGCTTTCTGGGGGACTCTCTCCAGGGCTTCCTGGGTTCCCCCCATTTTCCTCCTGCTTTTCCATCACTGCTGCTCCTCTGGCCAAAGAGGGCCGGAGCCCACTCTGCCCTGCCCCAGCACTGCCCCGCTGCCCCCTGAAACTCCTGCTCACCTACCCCATTAGCAGTGGGGCATGGAGCGGGGGCAGGTGGGAGGAATCTGGCTATGTCTTGCACAGAAAGCCAGGACGCATCTGGGCAGGTAGGCGAGATTTGCCCAGCCAGTGTCATGGCAATGACTGGGCTGGGCAGAGACCAAGCAGCCCCTTGGCCTGCCCTGCTCCTGGAGGTGGCCAGTTTCCCACCATGGGGAGCCCTACAAGCTGGGCTAGCGACTGCTAGGTGCATCTCCTGGTCTGCACGCTGGAGGAGTGTTCCTCCCCCAACCCCTCAGTACCCCAGCTCCCTGCCCCCAGTGCTCTGCGGCAGCTGCTGAGCCATCTGGGATGTGTCTTGGGAGTAAGGATGAGCAGGGAACCCCGGGGAGGCCAGCATGGCCTGTCTATGCTGCAGGTCCAGGGCTGCTAGTTGGATGGTCCCGGGCGGCTAACAGTATGCCTGGGATCCTGGTCCAGGCAAACCCTCCTGGCAGCTACTCCGATGGCAGGAGCCCTGGGAAATAGAGCGTATGGCAACGAACACAGGCAGAGATCTGCCTGCTGCCCCGGAGCAGATTGGCGTTCAGAGCTGGGCTCTGTCCCAGGCTGCTAGGGCCTGGGCGTGCTGCAGGACTAACCCTTCCTGGAGTGGCGCTGTTGGCCCCGGAGGGGGCCCCCTTTGCAGGGAGGGGAGGAGATGGTCTCTGAGGGTGCAGGGAGGGGATCAAGTTGGAGAGAAGGGGTCCCTACAGACAACCGGTTCCTTTGTCCCCTTGATTCTTTCCCCGAACACCGCGTCCATCCCCTGCCCTGAATGAGGTCAGGTCTGGGGACAAACGAGTCAGTGATGATGTCATTGAAGACTGTATCACAATGCACAGGCACAGATTTCATTCTGGCATGTCCTAGCTTCCCAGGGCTTGACTTTGCAACCTGCGTGTTTTCTGCCTGCAGTCATCTGTGTGCGATATGCAGCACTGCCAACCCCAGGGGTTCAAAACGCGGGCGTCAGACCCCCCCCAGATCAGGAGAGTGGCCCAAAAATCAAGAGAGGTTATTTTTAAAGATTATGTGGGGGGATTGGGTCTGTCTTGTGGTTTTTGAAACCCCGCCTCCCCAAGTGTGCGGGGTTGACAATTGGTGTTGCCATCATTCAGTAAAGTGACCTTTGGCTCCTGCTGTGGGAGCTCTCACCCCCACCCTGCCCAGCAGTTAATTCAGCCCCCCACCAGCCCCCCATCAGTTGTGCCTCTCCATCTGTTCTTCCCCCACCTCTGCCAGCCTCACCTCTGCTCCTCCTGGATCTCTTCACCCCCCTCTCCCAGGCCCAGGAGGGCTGCTGTAGGGGTCTCCTCTCCCCCTCCCCCGGCTGGGTGTTGCAGGGAGGGAGGGGGCAGAGCAGAGGAACCAGACTATTGTGCAGGGGAAGGGAGCCACCTTTGGCTGTTGAGCTATTGTGAGAACTGTGTTGGCTCCTGGAGGAGCGGGGGGTGGGGGGGGTGGGCGGGGGAGTGCTCTGATTGGCTGTTCTTCTTTGGTGGGTGGGGCAGTGGGGAAAGCAGCCAGTCAGGTGGGCCTTTCCCCCCAGGCAGGGCTGACATTTGCTAGAGCTTATGGCCTCCTTCCTGGACAGGCCTAGCTGTGGCCAAAAGCCCATCGCTGGTGGAGAAATTCCCAGGGCTGGCAATGATGCACACGGGGTTGCATATGCAAGCGGGGCCGTACGCACGATGAGAGACGGGCAGCTTGTTAAACAGCTGGTGAGATGCCTGGGTGGCAGCAGGGGGCACCAGAGCAATTGCTCCGCCTGCCTGGGCCGGTTTGGAGAGAATCGGGCGTTTCACATTTTCCGATGGTCTCCAGAATCGACAGGGTTCTGCCCATCGGAGCCCAGAACATTCCCTGGAAATCTGGACCTAATCGAATGCAGCGTTCCAAAGCGATCGTGTGACAGACAAACCGAGACGTGCCATCGAGGTGAGCCTGAGGCCCGGTTGGCGTACGGGCCCGGGGACTGTCGTTGCAATGGTTCCATGTTGCAAATTATTTTCTAGTGAATTGGGCTCTGGTGCCACTGTTTCCATTACAGCTGCATTTTTACTTGGTGTGCTCAGTTACTGGGAGCTGGCCCTTTAAGAAGGGGGTGTGCCTGCGAGAGAGAGAGAGAGAGTTTGAGATGGAGCAGAGAGGGTTACCCTACAAGAAGGGCAGGGCTGGCTTTAATAAAACAAGCATCGGTGTCGTCTTGGCACTGATGGGGACTGGTCCCCCCAGGGCGTCACTAGCGAGCTGCAGAGCCCTTGGCTTGTAGGGCACTCGTGTGAAGCAGCAGGGACTAAAGCTGTTTCCGTCTCATGGATCTTTGGAGGCTCCTAGATGGGATAAGTTTGGTGGGTCTCAGTTCCAGCTTCCTCGTCCCAGGCCCACTGCCAGGTTTTCACTAGGCTGTTGGCTCTTCGGGGCAGGGCCCTTTCTCCTGCTCTGTGTCTGTACAGCACCAAGCACAATATGGTCTTGATCCCAGTTGGGCTCACTAGGGAGTGCTCCTGCAGCAGGGGACACAAAATCCCCTCCCCTGAGGGATTTGTGAGAGCTGCTGATGCTGTGGCTGTCACACCCACAGTGGGGAGGTGAGTCGCCTGCACATTGGTGAGGCATGGGGGATGGGGTGGTGCAAAATCAGCAGGCAGCTGTTAAAAATGATCATAGAATCTCAGGGTTGGAAGGGACCTCAGGAGGTCACCAAGTCTAACCCCCTGCTCAGGGCAGGACCAATCCCCAGACAGATTTTTGCCCCAGATCCCTAAATGGCACCCTCAAGGATTGAGCTTACAGCCCTGGGTTTAGCAGGCCAATGTGCTAACCATTGAGCTATTGCTCCCCACCCCCATTTTTTTTTGTAGACAGACAGCTCTAATGCACATTTCCATCTCATGGTTCTCTGGGGTGTTTCACTCGTGATTTTTTTTTTTTGGACTGTTTGCAGCTGGCAATGCCAGGAGAAGGGACTTGACGAAGGCCACTGAATGAGTTGATGGCAGAGCCAGGAACAGACCCCAGGAGTCCTGCTTCCCACCACCCTCTTCTAAACACTCCCCTCCCAGAGCCCTGCGCTAAGCACTAGGTCATGCTTCCCTCTCAGAGAGTGCCCCAGAACCCAGGACATCCTGGCTGCTCTGGCCCCAGGCCCTGTTAACTAGGCCACACACCCTGCACTGAAAGACAATTGGCGGGGTCGCCCTTAACTGAAGGAAGCGAACAACTGGAGAGATTTCCTGCCTGCTCTGGACAGAGCCGGGAGCAAGGCTTGGCAGGGTTAGCGTCTGTGACGGCTCTCTCCAGAGGCAGGCCTGGGAAGGAAAGGGTTAGCGAGCGCTGGCGGAGACCTCTGCAATGAGAGAGTCTGGCAATGAACCGGACGCGTCCGCCCACACCCACGTGTGGGGTAAGCTGGCACCGAGCAAGCAGCATCAGAAATCCTGAGTGCGCGTGTGTGTGTATAGACTGTGTGTGTGTGTGTGTGTGTGTGTATAGACTGTGTGTGTGTGTGTGTGTGT